TGCTAGTTTATTGTTTGCACTCTCCCCTGCACTTCCTTTCTTTCTAAACAGATTTATTCCTGGTCATTACCAGATCAGACACAGAAGAGGTTATGGCTTCATTCTGCCCGAGTTGAATTTGATTTGAAGTCCCACGAGGAATATAATGTCACCAAACTATTTCCTCTCTAAAACAGAATAAAAAGGGGGTTTGGGAGAGGCAACACGTAGTGCAACAGAGCCTGTGATGGGAGAGCACTGCAGTGAGCCCAAGCAGACAGCTTGACAGATACCCTCTTCAGTCTCATCCCCACTACAACCATCATGGGGATCTCGGGGATAAAGTCAGGAGGCAGTGTGACAAATTCCTGGGCTGATGTGCAGGAAAATCCTAGTACACAGCTGGAGGCTGGCTGTGCTGTGCATCCATCACATGATGCTCAGGAGCATGTGATGCATGGCTGGGGATGGGCAGCGTGGTGGAAAGCCTCACATGATGCTCAGGAGGTTTCATCTGGCTTTCTGCAGGGCTGAGCCTGTAGTGGGAAGCTGGGGAGGGACTGGAGAGCCTCTCCTCTGAGGGCTCATCTCTTTCCTTTCCCTCTGGCAAAATCAGATCATCCAGTTCAGTGAGAAAAAAAATAAAAGGTCATTTATGGTGGGATGCAGCCTTCTGACTGTTCTGCACTTTTCTCTCACTGTAGTGAGCATGCCTGTAGTGGCCAGCACGAGCCCCTTAAGAAAAGGGGCCAGGGAAACCCTCAGCCTATCCCCATCTCCTCCCCACAGTGCTTAGCATTACGTTCATTTTGCTGCATCTTTCAGCAAGTTGCTCTGTCTCTGTCAGCTTTGCAAAGTACATGGCTTCACTTGGTGTCTCAGAGCTCTTTGATGAAAACAGAAGACTAGTAAAATCATTGCAACAGCCTGTGTGGATGTGATATTTAAGGAGCAGTGAAGGTGAGAAAAGCCAGGTCCCAGCAGCAGAGCTGAGTTGGTCAGATCTTCTCTACATGCTGTTTTCTGTCCCTTTTTTTGAGCACAGCCGAATACATTACTGCTTATTAAATGTGCACCTCCAGACAGGTTGCACACCCGCTCAATTGATGTTGCTCTTGGAGGCTTAAGGAAACCCTCTCAACCTAAAAATCTAGTCACTTTAAGTTAACTGATTTAAGCAGCCTCACTGAAGAAATAAGGCCATTCAGGTGCACAGAGCTGGGGATGGCTGGCTGGTTTTCATCACCAAGAATGGGAAAGCAGCTAATGATCACCCTCTGCAGAGTGGAAGGAAGGGCTACGTTTGGGAGCATTGGGATGCAGTGCTTTGCGCCAGCCTCTGCCAACCTTTGGACAAGTCACTTCCCTGCATCTCGGTGCTCAGTCAGGAGAAGATTCCTGCCATCTTCTCCTCACCTCCTCTTTGCAGCTGGACATGTATTTTGGACCATTTTATTAGTGGCCATAGGCAAGACTTTGTGCAGCAAGGATTTGCCATGCCAAACAGGGGTAGAAGGAACAAGCAGTGGTAATGCAGAGGGGCAAGAGGCTTGTGCCAGTGCTTGCTGGTAGCTGGCATTTCTTCAAAAGTGCTGCAGATGTGATGGGAATGAGAATGTAAATGCTTCATCCTTGCAAACTTGGTGCTTTGTTTATAATCCAGGCAGACATTCATACTGCACCTGCTGCCTGGATCTTCTTTGCATGGGCATGGACTGTGAAATCAAGGGAAAAAAAAAACCAACTTGCTCTTTCTAAGATGACTTGCTATGTCAGTGAGCTTCCACCCACCTGCCCCCTTACCAAAAAGAAGTAGCTGCCATGGATTAAGTGTGCAACAGTTTCTCCTGAGGGCTGTGAGATCTGGGCTCCCCTAATTATATTTTTTTCTAATTGTTTGTGCACCTGTCATAACAGTTTCTGGGTACAGACATCACGGGGATAAAACGGGCAATGCTGCCTGTCAGCAGCAGCAGCAATTGCCTCTTCTGCTGTCCAGCTCTGTTTGTCAGTCTGAAACCCCTGGTTTGAGCCTGCCTGTTCTTGCTCAGTCCAGCTCAAGGCTTCTGTGCACGGCAGATCCTCACAGCATTTTGCTGTGCCATGAGGGTGGTGGTAGTCTGGCAAAGGGAGCAAACCCTATCCACTGCCACTAAGTTTGCCCTCTCTGCAGTGCTGGGGAGCAGAGCATGGACCAGAGCTGATACCAGTGGTGAAGAAAACACAGAGAGAAGGAGACATCCCTTAAGCTACTGTGCTTTGGTCTGTAGAAAGGTTTCCTAAGGACAAACAGTATTTTGGGGTGGCTGGTTCAGGACACCAAAGATAAACATCTGCAGTGACCTGTTCACGAGTGAGAATACCCCTAGTGGAATCTCCCCAGAAAACTCCTAAGATCATCTTAAATCAGATGCTTGCCAGCAAATCATACCTTGGGCACCTCCAGGCTCCGAAACAGGTTTCTCTTCATAGGAGAGAAGTTGCGTCTTGCATAGGAGAAAGTGGCATCTGGGCTGACTGAAGATGGAGAAATGCCACCTCTGCTTGAAAATTAAGGAGAGGGAGATGTCCCTCTGGAGTCTTGACTCTCAGCTGTCTTTATGACATGCCAGCATAAAAAGATATGAAAGAGCAAATGCAAAAAGGAATTACTCGCTGCTTTTGTGCACAGATGAGAGCTCTTCCTGGCCAGCAGCAAACCCAAAGGTAGGAGCACAGGGAAGATGTGTATCAGGGTATGAGCAGAGTAAACAAAGGTGTCTCTGGGGAGAGGCCATTACAGAAGTTCATTCATCCTAAATGAGTAAGCAGAGACTCACAATACAGCTTGTTGCAAAGGTTGACCTGACACAGGGAATCAACATTTTACCAGTTTTGAGCCCTAAACCAAAACCAAACACCAGGCTATTCCACTTTTGAGGCTGTTTATCATCTTCCAAAGAAAAGATGTGCTTTCTGTCTAATGCTGTGGAAAGTGGTGCACCCATTTTGTAATCCCAATATACGGAGGTTGATGCTTCAGGTGGCAGCATCGGTGCTGATCGGAGCCTCACATTGGCCATCACTTCGGGAATCTGTCAGCTCCCCCTCAGGTTAGAGGAACACTGCCCGTGGTCCTAGGCAGACCTGTCAGCCCAGCCTGCTGTAAAGGTTTGCAGTACTTCCCACTGAAAGAGCTGTCTGTAACCGTGTGCAGTTTTGCTGCCTTCCAAGTCATTCAGACTGAAATTTTGAAGACCAGACCTTTGCTTCAGGTAGAAGAGATTTTTTATTTAATTTTCATGGGCAATTTCTGCAAAGTATGATCAATCTTGATTTTCAAGAAGAAGGAGGAGGAGGAGAAGTCTTCTAAGCTTAAAAAGCTCTTGTGAACTTTCAGAGAACCCATACAGTCCCCACGCTTAGGAGCACTGGCTTCCAGCTTTTTTAGTTTGCTCTGGTGTGTCAAAAATACACTCAGTCTCAGCAACCAAAGTGTGTCCCAATTATGAGCCTTGGGGTGAAAAAATATTACCAGTGTCAGTGGATACTTGTTAGAGCTTGGTATCTGAAAAGTGGTCGGGCTGTTGGGGACTGTAAGGATTTTCCTCTGGTTCTTGATGCCACTGATCAAACAGCAGAGGTCTGTGCTGTGGATCTCAGGCATTGAACACCACTGATGACAGATGGTGTATTGGGTTGGCATTATTCAACTGTTAATTTTCCCTGCACTCACAAAGATGCTTCTCTGCTCTCTGAGTTGTCTGACGTCCTCTTCTGGTGCTTGGTTGGATTAAGTGGTACTGGGGTCCTTCTGACCTAGCAAACCCTCAGACTTGGTCACCTCATCTTCTCCTTGGGGATTGGATGGTGGTTCCAAGGGTGACAGGTTCCTGCTGTGCAGACAACTCCCAGACTAGCAGAGTCCCCAGGTGACATCCTAGTGCACATCATATGTATGTTCGCCCCATGCTTGAGGTCCCTTTCCTACCTGCCCGGGGCCCTCGCAGGCAGCCTGCGGATGGGCTGCTCCTACTGAGGGTCTCAAGATGCACTGCAAAGAAAAATCTGTACATGCTGCCATAATCTTCCCTCTTTCTCCTGTGGCTGCAAGGGGAAGCTGTTTATTTGAGATGCAGAGCTGTTGTAAATAACTCTCTGCTTTGGTGAACCTGCAGTGTCAAAGAGGAACAGCCTTGTGGCAGGTGATGAAGGCTAAGCCCATGAGTGAAGATTAGACCGTCAACTGTGGATTATGGCATTTCTACCTGGACTCATTCTTCTTTCGACCTGATTTAAAATAACATGCAGTGGCAGTGATGGGCAGGGAGGACTCATAGTGGCCCTGCCAGGTGGACCTGGAGGGGGGATGTTTAGCCTGTGAAATCTGAGGGGCAGGTTGGAGGGTGTTGGCGTATGGGTGAGTGGACAGAAGGATAGGTGGTGTCATGGGCTGGGCTGATGGAAGACTGGTGGAGAGAGGTGTGTGACGTGTGGGGAGATGGGGAGAGCAGGAGCCCCGTAGAATGGAGCTACAGAGCAAGCAGGGCTGTGAATTGTGGGAGGGTGGATTGGGAAAAAAGCGTAGTAGCTGGATAGATAAAATTAGTGAAAAAAATGCGTGGTAGAAACAATGAATTCTTAGAAGAGAAAGAAGTGGGTGGGAGAATAAGTGCAGACTAAGAGGATTTCCACTACTTGGAGCCCTTGTACGCAGGCACCCACACCAAAACCATATTCCAGTTTATACTCCATGTTGCCTCCCTGTGTGTCTGTTTCTGTGCTTTACATCGCTTTAGATCAGATGGATAAAAAAGCTCAGTCTAAAAGTGTCCTATTTTAAGTTAATCCTCAGAAATAAAATGAGACCATCTCCCAGTAAACTCCTTGTGGCTACAGCCCAGGCAGGGCAGCAGGCCAGGAGTTCAGCAGAGCAGAGGTGCCTGTGAAAGGTGCCTGTCTCCTGCAGAGCTCTGCTCCTTCATGCTGGTTTGGAGAGATGGGGCTTGCCCTGACATTTCTCCTGCCTCCCTCCCCACCAGGTGTTCTCCATCGTGGTGTTTGGCTCCATTGTCAATGAAGGGTACGTGAACCGCCTGGATGAGACACAAGAGCACTGCATTTTCAACCGCAATCGCAATGCTTGCAACTATGGCATTACTGTGGGTGTCCTCGCCTTCCTCAGCTGCCTTCTTTACCTGGCTCTGGATGCCTACTTCCCGCAGATCAGCAGCGTCAAGGACCGCAAGAAGGCAGTGCTCTCAGACATCGGAGTCTCGGGTAAGTTTCCTGACTGATTTGCCATAGTGCCCCCCTCCTCCACTGGCAGTGGAGAGGGACAGAGCTTCTGCCACCTCACAGGACAGGTTCCTTACTCTCAGGCCTCTCTTCTTTCTTCTGATGCCTCTCTGGTGTTCTCCATAGGCGTAGCTCAGGGAGCCCTTTAGGATCAGCAGGCCCTGCCTCCCTGCATGTTTGAGCTTGATAAGCCCAAGTGTTGACACCTCTGGAGATGATACTTCCTTCTTTTCCAGATCCAGGTGATTGAACCCTCTATATTTTAATATAAAAAAACATTGTGGGTTTCATGCAGGTGGACTAAACCAGTCCTCCTAAATTACCTGGAATTCCCCATATGAATAGCTGTGCAGGACTTCATCCAGCCACGAGGCTTATTCTAACTTGTAGTCAGATTTCTCCATCCCCAGCAGAGTGTTGAAATGATAGACGGAGTGATGGTACGTGTGTACGTGCATGTGTCACACCAGTCAGCAGCATCATGAGGAGGTGCTTTGCTCTCGTGCTGTGATCCTGAGTCACTCTCCTGGCTTACTCCAGCCATACAGACAAAATTCTCCATGTCAGAGTGCCCCCACAGTTTGTCGAGTGGAGCAAGGGCAGCATCTGAACTTGTTTAGGATTTCTGGCTTACAAGTTTGTTCACGGTTAGCCCCTTGCCTAGCAGTCCTGCATTCAGCTAACGAGAGAAGGGGAAGGGGAAGGACTGAGCCTGGTTTTGCTGCCACTTAGGAATGCCCATTTCCCTCGCTGCCTGGTATCTGTCTGTGCCTGGCAAAGAGGCTGAGTCCCACTACCCCCACCAGCTGTGAGTCTGGACTCGGGGCTCCCTCCTACCTTCACCCCTTTCCTGAGGATGCAGCATGTTAATGATCCTTCAGCATCTTTCCTCAGCGTGAGTCCCTTAGCCTATGCTGTCCTGAGCAAAAGCTGGTCCCTGTGCAACTGCAGGCCAGCTGCTTCCCACTCTTCTGCAGCTCCCTTGGAAGGAATTGCTCTTTGCTTGTCCTTGCAGGACAGGGTTGCAAAACAATGGCTGTTTCAGAGAGCCCAGGTGATCACTCCTGTACTGGAAGCCCTTCAGGCTCTCTCCCAAGGCCAAATGCAAGTCCTATGATCAATCCAAACACAAGCAAATTAACTCTCCTGAGGTACTTTCTGCAGACACCTATCATCACCTTGACAATTTAGCCATCAGCGAGCCTGCCAGCTGCACAGGCTGCACAGTCAGAGTTTGGCTCAGTCTGCAACACACTGGTGGGTCTCATAGGGTTGAAGTTTACAGAGAAACATGATGTGTTTATGTTCTGTTCACACATACCGTCTTGATGTCTCTCCCCTTCCCCTTTGGCATGTTGGTGGTGGTCCATCCCAGCCTTTTGGGCATTCCTCTGGTTTGTTGGCTTCTGCTTTCTGACCAACCAGTGGCAAGCTTCGAAAGAGGTGGACAACCCAATGAATGAGGGAGGGGATGCAGCCCGAGCAGCCATCACGTTCTCGTTCTTCTCCATCTTCACCTGGGTGAGTACAGCAGCCATAATGCTGGGTCAAGTGTCCTCTGCGCTGTATTAGCTTGTGGGGAATGGAAGGTGACTGTCTAAGAGTGATTCCCTCTGAGATCTCAGTTCACATGGCTTCTGAGAAGGAAAGGCAGGAGGGGAGGTGGTTAGGAGGCAAATTTGGGAAACAGGGACTGAAAAGAAGGTGCTAGAGCATTAATAAGCACAATGGGAAAAGGACCCATATCCCAGTAAGGAGTGTCCTTAGAAACCTTTAATATGATCTTGGAGAAGCCAGCTCCCCAAGCATCATCTTCCCTGTATGTAAGAGGACTTTCGCATCATTTTCACCTCACAGACACTAAGCAGAGAAGGGAGCTCCAGGCTGGGGATTATACCCATCTCTTTCCCTGATTTGCTCCCATCATGTGAAATGTCATCAGTGGCCTCAAGAGGCTTCAATTGGTGTCCCTCTGGGCCATCCATCTGCACCCATGACTACAGCCTCACTGGGTCACCTTTTAGGAAGGTGATGGTGCTGTCTCTTAAGACTACCCTTTCCTCAGCAGTTCTTTATTGCTAGCTTCCTGGAAAAAATGTGGTGTGCAATATAAATATCCCCCACAATTTCCTCACATCTCTGAAAGCACCAAGCCCAAGTAATTTTTGTCTGAAGTGACAGGATACTGCCAAGCAGGAAAGCATTTTAGGCCAGTCTCCATGTGTAAATCCTTGTGGTTTTATTTTCTCTTCTCCCCGTGTGCCTTAACGTTGGGTAGGGGCCAGGTAGGAAGGCTGCTGTAAGACAACAAAGCTGTCAGAGAGGAAGAGGGGCTGCAAAGGGTTGTGCAGTCAGCACCCTCACCTAGGTGACACCAAGCAGGGGCAAGGGACAGCAGCATGTGTGTGTCCCTCATGACCTGTGTCCTGCACTCAAGTGCTGCTGAGACCTCCTTGTAAGCCCCAGCAGAATGTGTGACAAGGAGCAAGGCTTTTGCAAGGGGTCCCTTAGGACCCTTTTTGAGGTGCCACCACCTGCAGTGGTCCTCCCTCAAGTATGGGCTTGCAAGTGGCTATAGGCATCCTCTTCCCCTGGTGCCTTGGTGGTTATATTTCAAACAAATGCTCTGGTTTGCTCTTTCTTATTGATTCTCCTCCCCACACCCCTCTCTCTCCTCACAGGGCTTCCTCACATTTCTGGCTTTCCGGAGACTCAGAGACATTACTTTTCAGGAAGAATATAACACCCTGTTCCCTAACGCCCCATCCTTGCTGCCTTAGTGCCCCTCGCTGATGGGGGAATTTGGGGGAAGGGGTGGACAGGGGCAGCTGGAGGAGGTTACTGAGCAGAGGCAGTTCCAACACCCCAGCCATGGGTGTGTGATCACTGCAGGGCACAGGGTGGGAAGACATGGGCCACTGAACTGGAGTGGGGTTGTCCCCTGAATGGGAGGTCTCCCTCTGGGGAGTTGGAACTGGCAGTTTCTTTCCCCTCCTCTGCTCCCTTCTCTCCCTCACCCAAACCGTAACTAATGCTGCATAACACCACTGTGCCTTTCTTCTGATGACTGTGCAGAACTAATACTTCATCCAGGAGATGCCCTCTGCCCCCACCACTTTATCTATATCTCCTCCATTTCCTTCCAGCCCTCATTCCCCCAAAACCTTTCCCCCCATCACCTGCTAGACTGCTCACCTCTATCAGGGATGCTCTGGGACAACGAACCATGTCTGCTGGGGTCTGTGATATGAACCCCATGCCCAGGCTCCCTCAGTCCACTAAAGGGTGTCCCGCCTGCAGTGCCTGGGGCAGGAAGCAGCAGTGTGCTTGCTAACCATCCTCCGGTCTGGGAAGCAGCCGCCTTGCCTCATGCTGCTCCTTCCCAAGGTCTGTGCTGCAGCACTGTGCAGGTGTTGGGTGACCACTACCTTGCTACTCCGTGTCAAATCATGCTCTCTGTCCTGGCCTCTGCAGGCAAAACGGCTGTGTACATCCAGCCTGGCAAACAAACCTTTTGCAGTGTTGTTGAGGCAGATTGCCTTCCCAGGGGCAGGTGGGACTGAGTGAGTCCTGAGTGAGTTCCCAGCATACCCCAGAGACAGAGGGGAGCCCCGGCAGGCTGCACTCAGCCAGCTGGGCTTGCAGCCATCCCTGCCCAGCCCTCCTCTCTCCCATCAGGCTCATGCTTTCTGTGGGGCAGCCTGAACCTCCATGCTCTCAGGGGCATTTCACCAGGCAAGCCTTGCACACTAATCTGTAACCACTACTAACCCCACTTTTGTTTGTTTCTCTTTTTCGGTACATTCCTCCTCTCTTTCTCCCCTCCCCTCTCTGCTTCCCATCTCTTCCCTCCACCTCCTCCCTTAAAGGTGGGCCAGGCATTCCTGGCGTATCAGCGTTTCCGGCTGGGTGCCGATTCGGCCCTCTTCTCCCAGGACTACATGGACCCAAGCCAGGACTCCGGCATGCCTTATGCTCCGTACACGAATGATGAGGATGCTACAGATGCAGTGGAGACGTACCAGCAGCCCCCTCCGGCAGATGCTTTCGACACTGAGACACAGGGGTACCAAACGCAAAACTACTGAGCCACTGATGACCCTTTCCCTTTCCTTTTCCCTTCTGCCCACTTTCCCACTGCCGGCAGAAAGCCAAGGCACAAACCAGACGTGTGCATAGTGGCACAAGAGGTGGCTTTCAGCTATGCTCCAGCCTTCTGGGTCATCTGTTTTTATTTATCGTTTTTAAAAAAGGAAAAAAATAAAGAAAAAAAGGTTTCCCCATCACCTCTTCCTTCTCTTCCCCTGCCAAACTACCTTCCAGAACCAAATTCTTCCAAAATCTCACTGCATTGTGACAGGAAGGTCCCCTCTCCCCTTCTCTCCCTCCTGCCTTGCTGTAGAGTGCAGTTTTGCCAATGAGCAGGAGAGGGGCTACGGCACCAGCAGGGCAGGGAAGGGGGTGTTGGAGGTGAAAGGGAAGGAGTGAGAGGGGTCAGGGACCTTCCTAGAAAAGACGGTGTCGCTAAAGGCTGGAGTAGACATGGGAGCATCCAAATTGGGGCAGAGGGCCTGGTTGGTGTTGGAGTCAGTATGCAGGGGTGGAGGGGGAGGCCTGGAGGGGAGTGGGAACAGCATCCCCAGTGCAAAGACGGGAGGGCTTTTCTCTGCCACATGCTAGTGAGGGAGGGTGCTTTATTTTTAGAGGGTCTGGGGAGAAGTGGTATTGGGGGGGTGGCACAAAGAGAGAAAATGGGAATGAAAGGAGGAAGATTTGCAAGTACAATCAAAAACCACAGGCATGTCTGTAGGTTACAGCAAGAGACTCAGCAGACCAGAGGGGCAGTGCCATGAGAGTCACTCCCTCCCCAGCCCCCTTGGATTGAGGTGGAGGTGGTTCCACTTGCCTTTATGTCCTGCTCAGCACTCTTCTCAGAGCAGTGTTTGGTGAGGTGGGAGGGGAGCCATGCCCTGGCCCCCAGACACAGTGCTTGTGGGAGGAATGACAGTGGAGGTAGGCTTCTAGGGGGTTCTGAGAGCCCTTACCCCAAGCTAGTCTGGTTCGAGGGGGAGAGGAGAGCTTTGCCATTTCACCCTGGGCAGGAGGAGGAGAAGAAAGCCAGTTTCGCTTCTCAGGTCCTGCTGAACCCTCCTCCATTCCTCTGCTACCACAGGGCAAAGCCTCTTGCTGAGACCATCTCTGTAGCACACAGGAATGAAGCAGGACACTCTTCGGAAAGAAATACTGCTGCTGGAACGGCCAGCATGCATCTGGCTGTTGCACAGAGATGCAACCAAGTGGGGAAGGGTCCTGCCCCGCACGGTTGTGCTTTGCCTCCCACTCAGATGGGGAGAAGGTCTTGGTGTGAAGAGAATAGGTTGGGACAGGCTGAGCTCTCTGAAATCTGCTCTTACTGTACTTCACGTAGACTATATATTAGCATGTCTTCCTGTGGCATCTCAGATCCTGGCTGTCTTTAAAGCCTCACCTAGGTGGCAGTAGTGACTCAGATACAGCTCGTATGGGCATCAGCCACCCTGCTCCACCCAACACAGGCTCCAGCAGCAGGTATCAGGAGCAGATCCAAAATCTATAGGTGCTCCCCCAAGCGCCCAGCCGATTCCTCGTAGCACCCTTAGGAGTCTGGAGGAGGTCTGGCCTGTGGTTGTATGAACATCTCATCTGGAGGACACCGAGGTTACCAGTCCTTCCGCTCCTCCCAGTGCAACTTTCCTCCAGCTACCCCACAACAATGGGGAAAGGGTAAAAACTGGAGCTGCAGGCCCCAAGAGGGAAGGGGGGCAGTTGTTCTCCGCTGTATATAGGCACCATTTCTACCTGCTCCTACCAGCAGACTTATGCTGCCGATGGCTGTCCCTATGGCTTGTCCTCCCCATGGCTTTTTCCCCCTTGCTGGTGGCTAACCATTGGTGAGGACGGGAGAGGGGGACCAGCTAGGTCTGTGGATGCACCAGGAGGGACTGGGCACACATCCCTTGCTCTGTGGCTTTAAGTGAAAGCAATACTGTAAATAGGAGGGGGAATTTGGAGGAAAGTTCCTTGGGCTGCTTCTTCTGTGGGCTCAGCCTAATATTTAGGCTTGGTGGGGGGTTACCTTATTGAGAGAGGTTTGTTATGACTGTGGCTGTGGTGGGAGCTCCCTCCAGTCCGCCTTTCCTGCCATGAAAGAGGAAAGAATGGATGACAAGGTGGAAGAGGATAAAAACTAGTTGTACTCACCCAGATTCATCTGTGTCATCCTTCATGCTTTAGTTTGGGGAGGGGGGGACCAAGAGGAGGACGAGGCTATAAATAACCATCCCTCAGCACAAAAACGTGTTGTACTTTTGGGGAGGAACTGCCCATCACCTGTCCCCTCTCCTTGGTGAGGGGGTGAGGGACCAGGTGCATGAGGAAAGGTATGGACCATACATGAGGGGGGTCTACCTGGGGCTCTCTTTTGGGGTGTGGTAAAGAAAATTCTTCCATGCCATGCCCCTTCTCCCCTCAGTTACATAAATGGCTAAATACCATCTGGGGCTCACTAATGAATAAGCTTTTCTTTAGCCTCTTTGGCTTGCTTTCCTCATGTAACCAGCTGACAGGCTCCAGTGGGCTTGAGGTAAGAATGAGCCTCCTCCTCAGAGCCAGCACTTCAGTGAGATATGAGCCAGGTGGCTTCATCCTGGGTTACTGCCCATCTCTCTGTCCCCTTTCTCCTTGCTTATTGTCATAGGAAAGGCACTGGTGTGGCAGGGGACGCTACCACAGTAGATACTCAGGCAACATCTTGCTTTTGCTCGTGGGAGAAGACATACCCTCCTTGGACTAACATGCTTTTAGCCTTTGCAGTGGAGGGTTGGTTAGAGGCCTGGGAGCGGGACTCTCCTTGTTTGCATGTAGCTCTTTAAAACACAATTTCCAGTGACATTTGGCTGGTTCTGCAGCTGATGAGAGATACAGACCTACCCAAATCGTTGGTTATCTTATCTGAGGTGCTTCTGATAAGGTGTTGCATATTTCTGGTGATCATAGGCAAGACCTGAGCAGCTGGCTGGAACATGTCCCTTTAGATCCTAAATGTGGGTGAGATCAGCCCCATTCTAGGGATTTGGACATCAGAGGGAAGACTGTATAAGCAAAATGATAAGGCAGCTTTCTTCCTCCCCTGTTGAGAGCAACAGCCCCTTGATGTCTTCTTATTTTATAAAGCCCCCAAGTAAGGGACTACTCTGTGGAAGCAGGGGCTGTGAAGGGCAAAGAGATGATGAAACAAAACTTTGCCCCAATTCTACCTATGGCTTCAAGTCTCCTGGCGTGTCCCCATCCCCGGCTCACCTGTGTCCCCACCACGCTGTTCACCACGCCTCATCACGCACCCTTCCCTTCCACGTTATTCCTGGCAGCTCCCTGAGCAGGGGAGGCGTCTTTGTCCCTGCACCCTCACAAGCACTTGGGAGGACCCAGGAAGGCAGCATTGTGGGGTGGTTCCCACAGGAGTCTTGGCTTTGGTCCCCAGAGCAGGTACAAGGCAAGGAGCCCAGCAAGGCCACCTCACGCAGCAAGTCCAAACCATCCATTCAGACAACTCCCTGCTGCCTGTGTGGCATCTATAACACCACCTGGGCTGCCCTGCCCCTTCCCCTGATGCATTACTGCCTGTGTATAGTATATATATTATATATATATATTTAAAAAGATGTATAATATAAAGCTATACATATATACGTAATATACGATGACTCATGGATGGCCTGCCGCATACAGGATCCCCTGAGTGGTCTTGTCTAAGCCTGAGTGTTCCTTCACCTCTCCTCCCCCTCCACCCCTTGCCCCCGTTCCAAAATCCAACTACAGCGAACCCCACCACCTTGACACCTGTGTTTACAATGTCCTATATATTTGTGGTTAACAAAGTGAAGGTGGTAACTACTGGTGTCTCAATAAAGTTATGATGTTCAAAATAACCAAACTATATGGAAAATATGGTCTGGATTCTTTTCTTTGGGGAGGGATGTCTTTTTTTAGCTCAGTTTGCTATGGGAGCACAGCTGCTGTGCTCTGGCACAGCTGGACAGCAAGTTTAGTGACATGTGGTGGCTTGAATGGAGGAAAGAGACCTGAAGAACTGCCCTTATTGAGATGACATATTTCAGGGGGAGCTAATGGTTGCTTGTTTTGCTTGGTCTAAGTTTCAAATCACACACACTGTCAAGTGTCTCTTACCTAATGAGTAGGAAATCACAAGAAGGAGCTTGACATGCCATGTTAGAAGTGGACCTTCATTGTAAAAAGGATATAGCTATATGGATGGAGGACATACAGGAATATAGGATACAAACCTATATGAAAATAAACATCTGCATTTCCACACCCAGGGAAGCAGATTTGTTTATTCCTTTGATGTGTCACTACCTCTGTTTATCTATGTGTGACCATTGCTTGGGTGTCTAGCATAGTACACATGTTCAAAACATAATCAAGTATGGGAAACAAGAGCTCTCAGGGAGCTGCTGACAGTGGGTATCAGGAATTGATAGCCCACCATTGAAAAGGATCTAATTTCAATGGGCTCTGCAATAAAAATAGAATTCAAAATCCCATCCCATGCTGACACTTAGTTAAAGCTTCCTTCTCATCCCCTTTTAATGAGCCTGTCACCCGGTACCTGAGTATCACATTTCCCAAACCCTTGTGCAGTTTGGGGGCAGTAAGCAGGGGCACATGATGGTGAACAGGCTCTATCCATTCCTCTGAACTGTCTCCTCTCGGGGACACAACTAAGCACAAACATGCTGTAGCTTTACATCAGATGATATGCCAAACTGTTGATAGACCCATCTGTTTCTTGATTAATCTTGTTTGGACAAAGACCCCTCCTACAGTCCCAGCTTTTGGGGTGGAAGTATGGAGATACCGAGCCCACAGAAGGGCAAATGTCTGTGTTGGCGGCAGGTGGAGTTAAAAATGTGTGAGACAAGATGTTGCCAAAAGCAAACATTTAAGATGAATAAGACTGCAACAGGCTGGTTTGTCTTCTAATCATTTGAAATATCTTTTAATTTTGCTTTCTGGTATTTCAAGCTCTTATGAGTCATGTTTTGAAGCTTCTCCCTGCAGCCATGACATCTAGAAACATAATTCTATTATAAAGTTGTTTTTTTGAAAAAAAGTGCACATGAACTTGAGGAAATGAGACTTTGTTTAGTGTATCGAGGAATTCAATAAAATCATTATGTTTTGGCACAACTGAAACAACCATATTTCCCTCCCTCAAGAATCCAGCTGGACTAATGCTCTGTACAAACTCTGTTTAGCAGTGATATTTGTCTCTCTCGGGGGGGATCAGCATGCCCTCACCATTCCCTCTCCCTCTGACAGTAGCTCTCCACGTTGGCTCTGCAACTCTCTGGAGGGTGCTGGGGGAAGGAAGCTGCTGTTTTCAGCTCTCCTTCATTAATGCTTGTTCTTTCTATAGCTCCATCTCTATTTCTTTGCTGTTCCAGCCTGCCTGGAAACAGTGGCCTGCAAGGGAGTGAGGAGCCTTAAGGAATCTGCACCTGTGAGAAGCATCAGGCTGAAGTTGGTAGACAAAGCTGGGGAGACCTCAGGGTGGAGCTGCGTGAGGGCTTGCAATGCCACCCCCTCCACCATCCCTTTCTGTAAGGGTCTGCCATAGGAGCAGAGCCAAGTGTGGCAAGCTGGCTGTCAGAGAGACCCTTCTTTTTTTCCATATCACCTCCTGCAATCATGACTTTTCTTTCCAGTCCCAGCCTCCCTGCTCCCCATGGCACGTTGTTCAAATCATGTTGTTCATCTTCTACCCAGCAGCCCAGCAGTGACCATGCTTCTTCCTTTTCTACAGAGAAAATGTTAGTAAAAACAGGAAGGCAGCAGTACAGCTTGGCACCAGAAATGCCGTGTGTGTATTCCCTAGCACTGGGCACAAAGAAGCAATGACAAACAATAATTATAAAAAGAGAGAGAGGGGGGGAGAGAGGGAGGAATAAGAGATGTGGGAGTTTTAACATGAGAGGGAACTGTGGATCTGGTAGTCACTGAATCATGTAATTCATTTACTGGTGCATGGATGATGAGGTTCAGTGACTGATACCCTGCATTCTTGGGGAGATTCTGGTTGCATGAGAGTACAGCATGGTAATTCCTGAGAGGATTTACAGAAAGTAAGAAACGTAACTAAAACAAAGGATAAAATAACCTTGACCAATACAGCCAACTAAAACTCTGTTGGTGCAGTATTTCAGTCTCGTGAGTGCTGCATAAAGCTATTGCTCTCTGAGCAGATATTCATGAAGCACACCAGCTTTGGTAGCACTTTCCTTTGGAGGACTGTGAAATGCTGAACAAATACGCATTTAGCACTGCAAGCAGCCTCATTTGGTAAATCTTACTATTCACTTTTTGCAGGCCGAGCAGTTAACTGCCTCACTCAAGGTTAGGGCAGAAGTTCAGCGACAGGACCACAGGAATATCCAGACAGAATCTGGCACAAGTATTTCTTCACCAAGAAAAAAAATGTTTTGCACCAGGTCTGTGTTCCAGCCTGAATGGGCAGAAAAAAAAATTCAGAAGGACAAAGATTAGTGACTATGAGCTGAAGCCAGACATTTAAATTCGGAAAAGGGCACATTTTTAACTGCAAACAGTTAAACAAAGTGGCAGCTTTTCTTTAGGAAAGTTGTTTTGCTCTCTCATCGAGATCACAGTCTGCCCTATTGCACCCACACAGACTGCTCTTGTTAGTCTCAAAAGGTCTCACTTATGGATCTAAGAAGACAGAAATGACTCCTAAATTCCCAGTCCTGAAATGTGATACACGCTGGCAGTCTCTGAGCGCACCCAGAGCCTCACTGATTTCAGTGGCGCTCTGAGCAAGGACAGGATCTGCCTGTGCTCATCAAGGTCCATGACTGCAACCTTGAATGTCATTAAATAAGCATAAGCTTCTGCTGCAATGCTTAAGAAGTGACATTGTGTTTTGAAGCAGAGAAACTCGCCTGTTGTTTTTAATGACAATGCTGTTCCACACATATTTCTGCAGCACCAGGAATTCTTCTTGGTACTGATAAGAAAACAAATCATTATCAGTACTAAATCTGTCCATCCTACTTTTAATGCAGACTTGAGACCCATTCCTATAATTATTTGTACCCACTCACAGCTTTACCCACAGGAATACTCCAAATTTGAGACCAAGCTTATACAGAAAGCTAAACATATGGAAACTTGTTTGCAGACTGAGGTTCTAAATTTAGCATTTTCTTCTACTTTTGGCCAATATAACCTTTAAAAAAATAATTCTGACTGTCTACCTAAGTCTGCTTGAATGGCTGAGTATTTGTGAGCCTTGCATTATGGGGAAGGATCTGTAATCTTTGTATATTTAGGAGATGTAACAAAACAACAGACAAAGGATTTACGGGAAAGGGAGATGGAATCCTCCAGCAGGATACCCTGCAGCAAAACCCATCATTTCATAGAATGAGATTAATTAGCTAACAATTATTTCTGAAGTGTGTCTGGATCTGATATATTTGCCACAAAGATGTCATTAAGAGTATCAAGCCACTGCTGGAAGTCAAGATTACTTAACACTCCTACCCTCACCACAACTGCACTGCTACACATGACTGAAACTGTACGTCTCTCATGTTGGAGAGAGACCCTTCATCCCCAATTCACACAGGGAAATGTGCTTGTCCCCAAGATTCCCACTGCCGTAGTCTGTCTGACAGCGATCACTCGCTTCAAGATATGCCACTCACACACCCGGAGGGCTCTTGTGCAGACTTACAATGTTGAGAAGGTGGTGGGAATGATCCCTGTGTCTTCCTCCTGATTCAGCTGAGCTGATTCAAAGAAAACTGTCCCTCCTGAAACAGCCTACCTCAGCCTACAAGGGATATTAAAGAAAAGCAAAATTAGTGATCTCTGGTTTTGTCTGTAATTGTTCAGGCAGGCACACAAGTGATTTTACTGTTGTGCCTGACTTGCAACTACCAAGAACTGCTCCAAATTGCAGTGGGTATTACAGAACCACAGAATTGTCTAGGTTGGAAAAGACCTTGAAGATCATCCAGTCCAACCATCAACTTAACATTAATAGTTCCCAACTACGCCAGATCCCTCAGCACTATGTCAACCCGACTCTTAAACACCTCCAGGGAGGGGGACTCCACCACCTCCCTGGGCAGCCCATTCTAACGCTGAACAACCTGTTCTGTAAAGAAATGCTTCCTAATATCCAGTCTAAACCTTCCCTAGTGCAATTTGAGGCCATTACCTCTTGTCCTATCACTTACTACTTGGTTAAAGAGACTCATCCCCAGCTCTTTGCAACCTCCTTTCAGATAGCTGTAGAGGGCGATGAGGTCTCCCCTCAGCCTCCTCTTCTTCAGACTAAACAGTTCCCTCAGCCACTCCTCCTACGACCTATGCTCCAGACCAGCTTCGTTGCCCTTCTACTGGATATGCTCGAGTCATTCAATGTAGTGAGGGGCCCAAAAGTGAACACAGGAATCGAGGAGCAGCCTCACCAGTGCCAAGTACAGGGGTAAGATCCCTTCCCTGTCCCTGCTGGTCACGCTATTGCTGACACAAGCCAGGATGCCATTGGCCTTCTTGGCCACCTGGGCACACTGCTGGCTCCTGTTCAGCCGGCTGTCAATCAACACCCCCAGGTCCCTCTCTGACTGACAGCTCTCCAGCGACTCCTCCCCAAGCCTGTAGCGCTGCTGGGGGTTGTTGTGGCCCAAGGGCAGCCCCTGACATTTGGCCATATTGAAACTCCTTCAGTTGGCCTCAGCCCATGGCTCCAGCCTGTCCAGGTCTCTCTGCAGAGCCTCCCTACCCTCGAGCAGATCAACACTCCCACCCAACTGGGTGTCATCTGCAAACTGACTGAGGGTGCACTTGATCCCCCTCATCTAGATCATCAATAAAGATGTTAAACAGGAGTGACCC